AGGCCCGCCCCCCGGCCCCCATTACGGAAAACCCCACAGATGCTGCAGTCTTCCAGAGCCTGGCTGAGCAACAGTTTTCTGCCACTCTTATGGGTAATGAGAAAACCTGGCAGAAGCGTGCCCAAGGGATGGCACCGCTCTCGGCCTTCCTTCCTCCCTCCCTCCCTAGGAGCATGGCCAGAGAACTGGCTGCTTGTGGAGGGGGATGTGAGCAGACCGCTGTCGGCTTCATCTCCCAGTGCCCCTTTTGGCCACGGGTGCCAACACCCTTTCCTGGGGCCTCAGGTTGCCATGATGGCTCTCCTGGCTCCCTGCCCTTCCCCCCATGGGCACACCCCTTCCTCCTCTCACATCTTTGCTTGGACCTGCCTGGCTGTGACTGCTCTGGGAGCAGGGGTGGTGGGTGCACGGTTTGGGTTCCACAAGGCGCCTGGGTTGAACAGCTCCCAGAGAGCCTGGATTAGAGAAGACAAATGCACCCACAGCTGTGTTCTCCAGGACCCAGAATGCTTAGCTGTTAGAACATGGGGTGGCTGCTGTTGGGCTGTGGGTTGCCATTTTGGGTTGGTGTAATTTTTGCTCTTTCAGCTACTGAGGTGCCTCGACATAGGTCCTGAATTGACTTTTTTTTTTTTTTTTTTTTTTTAAAAAAAACAAATTTTTGCTGTTTTCCCCGGTGGAGTGCGGGGGCTTACTGCAACCTCCACCTCCCAGGGTCGAGGAATTCTCATGTCTCAGCCTCCTGAGTAGCTGGGACTACAGGTGTGCGTCACCATGCCCAGCTAATTTTTGTATTTTTAGTACAGATGGGGTTTCACCATGTTGGCCAGGCTGGTCTTGAACTCCCCAGGTGATCTGCCCACCTCAGTCCCCCAAAGTGCTGAGATTATAGGCATGAGGCACTGAACTTGGCCCTGAATTGCTTTTTTAAAAATTATGGTAAAATAAATAAAATTGACCATCTGACCCATTTTTAGGCGTACAGTTCAGTAGCATGAAGTGCATTCATTCATACTGTTGTGGAACCACCATGACCATCCAGCTCCAGAACTTTCCATCTTCCCAAACTGAAACTGTACTCATTCAATAATAACCCCCGTTCCCCGCCACCGGCCCCGGGCAACCCCCCTTCTAGATTTTGTCTCCATGACTTTGACCGCCCTAGGTACCTCCTGTAAGTGGAATCATGCAGTGTCTGTCTGTCCATGTCTGGCTTATTTCACGTGGCATAACGTCCTCGGGTTTCATCTGTATTGTAGCTTGTGGCAGAACTTCCTGCCTCTTTAAGGCTGTCTGTATTGCTTTTGAGTAGTTTATACAAGTATAAACAGTACAAAATACGGAAATCTCGAGATCACTATCTTCTTCAAACTCCTCTCCTTACCTCCAGCGGGGCACAGAAACTCAGGTGTTCCCCCAGGTAGCATGAAGCAGCCCCTTCATTTCTGCAGCTTCTCCTCCCTGGGGCAGCAGGAGTACGGTCACCCTCCTTCCAGTGAGCTCCCTCTTCCTAGTTCACAAAGCTCTGTGACATCTGGCCTCAGTGGGAGGGGAGTGGAGCACGTTATTGTCTCACCTGTCCCCTGGGGCTGGAGAGTGCTTGTATGTTCCTCGCCCCAGGCCCCAGAGCTCTGGCCAGCCTTCCTCGAAAGCTCCCAGGATCCAGGGACTATGCTGCTCCCCACGCCCTCTGCTCTGCCTCTGGGTCTTCTCCACAGTGCCCAGAGGGGCAAGGGGCTCTGAGGGCTGAAGCCAGAATTTGGGAAGGGTCAGGAATTCGAAAATACCAAGACAGGAGGCAGTGGAGGTGCTTTTTTTTTTTTTAATCAACTTTTATTTTAAGTTCCAGGGTACATGTGCAGGATGTACATAGGTAAACATGTGTTAGTTACACAGGCAAACGTGTGCCATGGTGCATGGTGGTTTGCTGCACAGATCAACCCATCACTTAGGTATTAAGCCCAGCATCCATTAGCTCCTTTTTTTTTGAGATGGAGTTTTGCTCTTGTTGCCCAGGCTGGAGTGTAATGGTACAATCTCGGCTCACTGCAACCTCTGCCTCCCAGGTTCAAGCGATTCTCCTGCCTCAGCCTCCCAAGTAGCTGGGATTACAGGAATATGCCACCACGCCCAGCTACTTTTTTGTATTTAGTAGAAACGGGGTTTCACCATGTCGGCCAGGCTGGTCTGGAACTCCTGACCTCAGGTGATCCACCCGCCTCGGCCTTGCAAAGTGCTGGGATTACAGGCATGAGCCACCGCGCCCAGCCCATTAGCTACTTCTTAAAAGGATCTTTCTTCCAATGCAGCTGTGGATGCAGTGAGAAGTAGGGTTTACTTCAGACACCCGCCAACTGACACCATTTCTCATCTCCTTCCTCCTTCGGTGAAACCAGCCTCAGACTTGCACCCACCCTAGAGCGTCTTTGATTCCAACAGTATCTCACAAATATTGCAATGCACACACACCACTGGGACTTGGTTATGATGCAGATGATTCTATTTTAGTTGGTCTTTGTGGGGCCTGGATCCTGCAATTCTAACCAGCTGCCAGGTGATATCCACTTTGTGGACAAGGCTTAGGAATTCCTGGCTCCCATTTCAGACCTATTGCATCTCAATTTCTTGGAGGAAGGCTGGTCGGCTCCCCCAGGGCACGCTGCACTGTGATGAGTTAATGCCTGGGTTTAGAGGCTGATCCTCCATGGGGCAGCTGAATGGTACTGCCCCCCTGGCTTAGATATTCACTGCCTAGGGTTGAAGCTGTGTCCAGGGGGAGTGAGTCACCATAGGAAAACCAGAGGGTCTCCTTCTTACTGTCAACAGCATCCTCAACTGCCAATGGAAAGCCAGCTGTGTGCAGAGGTTGCCAAGATTACAGGGGCTCAAAGGTGCTGGCCCTGCTTCTAGAACGTCACTGACTGGCTGGGGCGCCACCGGGGCTAAAAGAGCTGAAGGAGCAGAGGATCGGAAGGTCATTGTCTTTTTTCTTTTTTTTAGACGGAGTCTTTGCTCTGTCGCCCAGGCTAGATTGCAGTGGCACAATCTCAGCTCACTACAAGCTCCGCCTCCCGGGTTCACGCCATTCTCCTGCCTCAGCCTCCCAAGTAGCTGGGACTACAGGTGCCTGCCACCACGCCCGGCTAATTTTTTGTATTTTCAGTAGAGATGAGGTTTCACCATGTTAGCCAGGATGGTCTTGATCTCCTGACCTTGTGATCCACCTGCCTCGGCCTCCCAAAGTGCAGGGATTACAGGTGTGAGTCACCGCGCCCAGCCCATTGTCTTACTTCAAAAGTGAAAAGCCAGTGTCCACTTCGGGGAGGACCCCCACAACTCAGCCCAGAGCCGGCTGCTGGGGTATGTTCACCCACCCAGTTCCCTACAGGTGTCTCACCTTGCCCTCTGTCCACCATGGGTCCCAGCGCTCGGCTGAAAACTGCCCTCAGCTTCCAATCTTGACTATAACAAAATTTAAGGTCCAGGGAACTAAAAGTAAATTATGTTCTCCAGCTCCCTCACACCCAGGCGAGTCAATCACTTTTGCAACATTCACCTGCTCATTTCCTGTCATTCTGGTACCTCTCTGGGGATTAAGATAACGCTAAGGTAAGCACGCTGCTAGGTTACTGAATTCCAGGAAGGTCACAGGCAGGCAGGATGGGCTTCTTCTCTCCATTACACAAAGGGGGAACCAAGGTTCAGCGAGATGACCCGCACCATGTCGGGGACTAGTCAATGGCAGAGCTGGACTCAACCCCACATCTGCTGGCTCCCAGCCTCTCTTCCCATCATCCTTAGCTCTTTGCTTAAACATTTACTCCCTGGTGCTGGGGATGTGGCTATTTAGAAGGTGTGGTTTTACCAGACAGTTTTTGAGAGGTCACAGAAACCCTTGTTTCTAAAAAGGCCCTGTGGGCTCCAACAGCCACCCCTCAGCCAAGCTGCTGGCTGCACGGTCCGCTGCTCGCTGTCTGTGGAGGCCTCACCTGGCTCTGCGTTTTGCTTTCCTTCCTCACTGAGCAGACTCTGGCTCCTGCTACTACTCCTCCAACTGTCCTCCACCCAACTTTGCCCTCTTAGAGGGAGGCTCGAATGGTTACACCTGGATCCTCGTTGCTTGGCGAGGCCCACATCGTCACTACACAGGCAGGGGGCTCCCAGACCCACTGCCTCACCTGGACCGCGCCCTCCTCAGCTGAGGCTCCTCCATTCCATTGCCCTGGAGGAGCCGACCGTGCCAGGGTCAGCTCAGCCGTGTTCCTGCTCCGGCCCAGCTGCTACACAGGATCCCCCCCCGTTAGCAGCACAGGGCTCCAGATACACCACGGGTGCTGCTTCCTTAGATCATCCCAGACAGCCCGATGCCCCAAGCTGGCCAGCAGCCACAAGAGCAGCCCCAGAGCTCCAGCTCAAAGCCCACAGGGGCTGCCTCCATTTCCGGCAACACTCAGCAGAGGCAAGGATGGGGCTGGGAGTCAGACGAACCTAGATCCTGAGCCCACCTCCCCACTGGCTTGCCCTGTGCCTTGGGCTAGAGCCCCGATTTCATTTCTAAAAATGTGGTCCTATAACCTGCCCCCTTGGAGTCACTATCATTGCTATTGGCTGTGGTCGTGAATGTAGGTGCTTGCACACAGGGTTGCTCAAACATTGTTCCATCCCTCCTTTTTCTAGCCAACTGAGCAGCTCAAGATCAGGGAAACCGCGCATTTAGGGCAAGATCATTAATCATCACAGTGTAAACACAATCCTTAGCTTGCGCTAAAGCTCTTTCCAGGAGAAGGAGGACGTGAATATAAATGAGAACCTGCACATTTACCTAAAACTCAGCCCTGCTATACCATCCCCCAAGATGGAGAGAAAACCTGAAGTTCAGCAGTTCAGCAAGGGGCACCCTCAGAGCACGGGTGGAGGGCCACGGGCCAGACACAAGCTTGAATGGAAACTGTTTCAGGCCGGGTTTTACGGTCTTCATCTGGTTCAATAAGAAATCCTTGTGCAACTGGCCGAGTCAATATTTTATTAAAAAACGCATAAACGTGTACAATGGTAACAAAGGCAGAGACGGAGAGGAGACGCGAGATCTCCTTAGGGACAGGCTAACCACATAGTGTTTCTACAGGCACGCCTCGCTTCAGGAAAGAGGGTATCTCTAAGACTGGACTGACAAGCTAGATAAATTAGGAGGGGACTTTGTTTCTTAAGGCGCTTCACTCCCCCCTGAGGAGTGAAGTAGAAGGGATTTAGGCAGGAGTATTCACAAACCCCTCCAGCTGTGCTAAGTGGGGTTCATCAGTACCTGAGGTGGTTCTAGAAGCAGGAAGGCAGAAAACAGATTTCCCTGGAGGCTGCTTTCCTTTTCCAGAAGGGGAGGAATAGTCTCCCCGGAAGGCTGGAGGAAGAGTTTCCGGCTGGCTCAGGAGCTCTGGGAGCTGGCTTCCGGGGACAGCAGGAAGAGGGGGCAGGCCTTTCCTGGTTCCCACCAGCCTGACAGGACTTTGGCACGGGAACACAGGTCCACAGGCCTCGCCTGGAGTACACGTCCTCTTTGCAAAGCTCCTGAGGGGCCCAGGGGTTGTGCCCTCATCAGACAGCTGCATCTTGGGAAGGAAATGGCAAAGTCAGGACAGCTTGCCAGGGATGTGGTCCACCCACAAGCCACACTCCACAGGTTTGACTCCAAGTTCTGCTCGGGGGGCACCTCTGTCCTCCACCCAGCGCTGACTTTCACTGAGATGATTCTATTTTTTAAAAATACATTTCCAAACAAGAAAAAACTTCGGTAGCACAGAGGAGACTCCCATCCCCACGCCCCACACCTCAGTCTTACCTCAGCAGTAACCTCCATAAGCCATTTAGTTGTTTCTTTTGGTGATTCTTCCATAATTTAAAAAACCGACTTATACTAATATTTATAGATTTATCCTGTTAGACATCACCTATTAACTTCTTTTTCCCCCTACATTCTCTACTTTTAAAAATCATTCTTTTTTTTCTTTAAACGGCTTTACTGGGATATTTTCATAATTCACATACCATACAATTCTCCCATCTAAAGTGTTTTTCAGTATATTCACAGGACTCCGCAACCACAATTTTAGAACCTTTGCATCACCTCAAAAAGAAACCTCATCCTCATTAGCAGTCACCTGAGTCCCTCCCCCAAGCCCCAGGATCCTCATTAGCAGTCACCTGAGTCCCTCCCCAAAGCCCCAGGCTGCCGTAGGTCTACTTTCTGTCTCTGTGAATCCGCCTGTTCTAGACAATTTTTATTAGAGAAATCCTACACTCCATGGCTTAGTGTAGGATTCCATGAGTAATGCCCTCAAACAGGAGGCAAGTTAAATAAACTGCCCAGTCATGCCATGGACTTAATGCTGCAACCCACGGAGCCACTAAGAATTCCTAATGATGCTGGGAAAATGTTTGATAGGTGGCTAAGGAGGAGAAAAAACAGGTTATGAAACAGCACATGAAGTTTGATCCTTTTAATAAAAGCAACAGATACGTATTTTTTCAGAGAGAAAATACCGAAAGGATAGCTACTCAGTGCTACTTCTGGGTAGTGTGATGACAGATGGCTTTTTCTTAATTTTTTAAAATACATTTTTCTTTTTTTTAGAGACAGAGTCTCACTATGTTGCTCAGGTTGGTCTCAAACTCCTGGGCTCAGGTGATCCTCTTGCCTCAGCCACCTGAGTAGCCGATACTATAGGTACATACCGCTGTCCCTGGCTCAGACGGTTTCTATTAAAAATATGTTTTTATCTATATTTTCTAAAAACCTACATTTTATTTTTGTCATTAGAAAACTTAAGAAAAAGCTGGCTGGGTGCGGTGGTTCATGTCTATAATCCCAGCACTTTCAGAGGCTGAGGTGGGACAACTGCTTGAGCCCAGGAGTTTGAGACCAGCCTGGGCAACATGGTGAGACTCCATCTCTTAAAAAAAAAAAAAAAAATTGAAATTAGGCATGGTGATGCTGCACACATGTAGTTCCAGGTACTCACGAGGCTGAGGTTGAAGGATCACTTGAGCCTGGGAGGCAGAGGCTGCAGTGAGCTCTGATCGCATCACTGCACCAGCCTGGACAACAGGGCAAAACCCAATCTCAAAAAAAAAAAGAAAAAGAAAAGTAAAGAAAGAGAGAAAGCAAGCAAGCAAGCAAGAGAAAAAAGCTTGGCCACCCAAGGCTGAAATGCTAGGGCATCCTTGGATGTGTGGAGATGGGCATGTGAGGGGAGATTCTGGGGCCACATCTCCCCCTTTGCCGGCCCCTGTGCTCTAATACTACTTCTAAAGTCCCCTTGGGACACAGCCTTCTCAACAGCAGGGTTTGTCCCTATGGCTGAAGTCAAGAACAAGCCATCCCCCTGTTCCCGAGAGATCCTCTGTGCACAGATAACCAGAACTCACCTGTGGACTGGGTTACACATGAGATCTTGTAGGACAGCCATATGCTTGCCATGCAGAGGAAGGTGGCCATGAAACCAAAGATCTGCAGTGGAGAGAGGGGAGAGGAAGTTCACAGGCCGTAGGGCCAATTACTCAGGCAATCCTGTCTGCTTCTCATCTCTGCACTTGTTCCCTTCATGCCTCTGGCCAGAAAGGAGCTTGGAGAGTCATCTAACCCAACCACCTCATCCTGGATCAGGTGCAGAGAGGAAGCCCCAAGAGGCCCAGCCACTGGCCCCGGTCCCCCAGGTTGGGCCAGGTCAGGGCTGGCAGCCAGGCCTCTCGGTCTTTTGGCAGCCTCAGTGCCTGGTTTGGGTTTACATTTACAAGAGAGCTGGGGCTAAGCCAATGGACTTGGATTATCCTAGACCAGTAGAGAAGAAAAGGGTGAAATTTTAATTTGGGCTTAAAAAATCTGAACGTTCACATGATTTGTGGTGTAGTGGCGTTGTTCGCATTTCATCTGTAATGGTTTTCTGTTCCGTTCTGGCTTTATAGCCGTATAAGAGCCAGAAGCCGAGGCCTTTACATCTAGGTTTATGTTTGTACATATTAAACAATATTAGACTAAACTAAGTTAAGGCAGCACCCTTTCCCTTTCTCAGGGTCATCCGGCGCTCAAGTGTGAGGAAGGCTGACCTAGCCCAGCCCCCTCACTTGTAGATGAGATTCGGGTGCTGGGAGAGGAAGAGCGCCTGTGGGCAGGCTCATCAAATGGTCCAGGGAGAGGCAGTAGCTTCTTCTGGAATCTCTGGGCTTTGAAGCCTGCAGCCGTTTTCCTTGCTTGTGAACAACACTGGGAGCTGCAGTGGTGAAAACTTACTGACCACTTTACTACCTGCCTACCAGGGTGTGAGGCTCTGTGGGTGTATTGATTCCTTTAACCCTCACAACTCAGCTGGGCGGGAGCTACGATTACCCACCCCTGCTCCTCCATTTCACAACTAAAGAAACAGAGGTACAGGCGGTCAACTATTTTGCCAAAGGCCACAGAGCCAGCAAGGGCCAGATATGGGATGGGAGCCCAGGAAGCCTGACTCCAGAGTCCGCGCTCTGCAGTACCCGGTGCCTAGGTATTCTCGGACCCACGCAACGGCCTCCACTTCACTACACCAGCACTGGCGTCCGGTGAGAATGGCACAGGGGCAGCTAAAGGGTAGGATTTTCAACAAGGTTTGGTTTTCTTTTCAAGCCCAGATGCTGCTTTACATAAACAGCTGCCCCCACTTCTTCCCTGGGTTCCTTTTCCTGGGCTCCTTTTGTACCAGTTGTCTGCAGCACATAATTAGCCTATTAAGAGCCTGTCCCGGCCTCTCATTGTCTGTTCTGCACAATTAGCACATTATATACCATCCCAGTCTCCAAGTGTCTGCATTGCTAATTGAACAGTTTATTATATCGCTACAGAATGCTATTCTAGACTACAATGCCTTGTTTGCTAATTGTTTCATGTGTCTTGTCTCCTAAGCTAGATGACCACTTTCTTATAAGCAGGGACCATATTTGAAAAATTTCTTCTAACTTCCTCATAGCCCAGGTTTGGTCCTAGGTACAAAACAGCGTATGATGAATGTTAGCTATAGACATTCCAGGGCTAAACAGTTACGTGCAACCTGAATTACCAAACACAGTGGGAATCTCCCCAAGTGGGCCCGGAAACACAGTGGGCACAGGTCTCCTGCATGCCTCTTTCAGCACCCTGCACTGTAGCTGGGCAGGTGTTAAGCTGCAGGGGGCAACCATCCCTCTCTTCAGAGAGGGCAGAGAGAGGGGGAAGAGGGGTGGGGCGGTGGGCTGTGGGAGGGCCATGTGGAGCATCAGTGTTGGGAGGTTTGGCCACCCTCTACAGTGACCTTCTGCCCCCATGCTGACCTTCAGAGGACAGACTCCATCCCTCAGTGGAATTCCAGGAGCCAACCCACTCCCAGGCCAAAGTCTGGAAAGTTTTGGTAATATGTGTAAGTGAAAGACAATGAATGTCACATACAGAAAGAGCTCTTCTTTTTCTCTTTTTCTTTTTTTAAGACACGGGGTCTCAGTATGTTGTCTAGGCCAGACTCGAACTCCCGGTACAAGCATTCCTCCCGAGGGTCTGGGACTACAGGTGCATGCTGCTACATCTCGCTTCAGAGAGCTTTTCATAAAACTCATTTTTAAAATCTTGTCTACTCATCAGTGAAGCCAATCAGTGTTGGCCCACAGGTCACTGAACTAGAAACAGCTAAATCAGAAATCAGATGAATCTATGACTCTTTAAAAAATAGTATATACATCTGTATGTATATACATATATATGTATGTATATATCTCACAGGACTGTATTTCTGTATATTTCCATCTGCTTCTATTTATGGCTATCAGATGGATCAATTTTTGCCTCTGAAAGATACAGGAGTATTATTTCCTGGCCTGAATGCTGTTAAAAATCAGGAATGGCAAAGCTCAGGCTCATGGCATGTATCTCTAATTGATCACAGTACATTTCCCACTGGGCCCAAAAGAGGCCCCAGAATCTGTCTCCGCATAGTGTTGAGGCAGCCAACGAGCAAACGATCAGAGTGGGTGTGTGAATTAAAACCCGCTTGGCCCCCTGATTTCAGTAGTGGCTGTAAGAGAGAGAGGCCTGGGCTGCTGGGGCTCTGTGAATTTGCCAGCAGCCCTGACAATCCACCTTCTGGGACTGGACGCCTCTGCTTAAGGCTCTTTGAAGAGAGCTGATGACTGGATCAAGGTAGGTGTTGATTCTATGAAAGGAATGCCCCAGAAACCAAACCCTTCTCTTCCCCCATCAGGAAGAAAATGAGCATTTTAAATATGAACTCATTCCTAAAGGCTCCCCAAAACGTCCTCACCGCTCCGGCTACCAGTCCGCTCTGATTGTAACTCTTGGAAGCTGCCACGATGGAGGCGATGAGGAGGAGCAGGGTACCGATTAAATAGTGCAGAAGTTCCTGGGGGCAGAAACAAAGCAAAGAAGTGGGTAGGGTGGTCTATTCCTGGTTCGGGAAGAGCAACTGGGCATCAGAAGAGATGAAAAGAAAGGGAGACAGTGACGCTTCCTCTTCTCCCTTGCAACACGCAGATGGGATGAGCAATGCAGCTCGCAGGCAGCCAACGTGGGGGCTGAACAGGAAGAGGCCAAGCAAGACAGAAGTGATGCCGGGCAGGTGGGAAGGGAAGAGGACAGAGAGAAAGGAAGCTTCCGGTGTGAGCAGAGATAGCCACTAAGGACTCCTCTACTCCTGAGAGCAATATGTGGACAGTGCCTTCACCTTTGGCTAAAGCTACTAAAAGGCAAACGAGCTTCTTGCAACTTCCCGGCTGGAGAGTTTAAACAAAGCTCCAGCTCTGAGAAGCACAGTGCCTTAAAGAGATATTTGCCTTTCTCTTCTGCTTCAGAGAAAGTTCTGGGCTAACAATATGCTGGTCTTGTGTGACTGACTGGAGTGTCTGCCCACTATGTGAACGGCCCCGAGTGTAGACCTGAGAGGTGTTCATTCCCAGGGGCCTGTCAGACTCAGACTCTAGAATGAGGTCAGTGGCACTTCCGTGACGTGCCTGTGGATGTGTGGTGGCAGCTGGTTTTCTCACTCCTGAGCCTTCCTGCCCCCTCCTTTTTTTTTTTTTTTTTCAGTTGTTCCCTCTTCTCTTTTCTCCAGAAGAGTGCCCTCCCGGCCAAGCTCTGCCGATGAATCCACTGGCGGGACCAGTTCCACCTCTGCTTCTTGCCTTGGCCCACGGGCTGTGTATCTCCACCCCACTCACTCATCATGATTAATCAGCATCCTTGCAGGCCCTGGATGAGACCAGGCCTTTCAGTAGCGAGGGAAAGCTTCCACCTCACCCTCTCTCTTTCCCATTAAACATCAGATCAGAGAAGAACTGAGGCTGGGGGCCACTTCCAGTGCTTGCCCTGAATCCAGGGTACATCCACGTTCAGTTGTCTTCAATGAGAATTTAGAAATCATTCCTTCATGAAGTTTTGTCCCTTAGGGCAGGCAGCTATTAAATTTTGGAAAAGCATTCCAATTTAAAGCTGTAGCTCCTCTCAAAGCTATGTAAAATCAAAGACCCTGGTTTCTCCCTTAGTGACTAGAAAGGAATATCACAAGATAGATCACAGAGATTTTAACTAAAGAGCAGATGAGTAACTGCAAGTTCCCCACCTCCAAGATTCTCACCTATTAAGACAGAGGAGGATGACACGGGGCAGAGAAAACCTACTTGAGAGAATCCTGGCCGGAAGTACCTGCATAGTATCTAACCAGAAATGTGTGGCTGAGTCTGTCCTTCCAACTTTCACTCCCCACGCAGCCCACTCTTGTGCTTGTCGCTGAGCTTCTGTTCTCTCCTTTGCTTGTTCAGTATCTGCATCAGGTAAGCCCCGGAGGAATTTGTTTTCAAAAGAAGCAGAAAAAATGCCATAGCTTTGAAAGGGTCCTTAGAACTTAGAAACACAAAGGAAATTTCTCTCAAGATAACAGTGGGTAATATGTTAAATGTGAACAATTAAACAATCTAATCAAGATGCAGAGGTGGTCAGATTGGATTAAAAAAACAAAGCAAAACAAGAGATAACTACAGTATGTGCTGTCTATGGGACAGAGACTTTATATTCAAAGATAAGGATATGGCATGCAAACGACAACCAAAAGAAAGCCAGGGTGTCTGTACTGCATTGGACAAAATAGAATCGAACACAAAAAAAGTTACTAGAAATAAAGAGGGACATTTTATAATAATGAAAAGCTGAATCCATAAGGAAGATATAACAATTATAAACATATATACACCTAATAAAAGAGCCAAACCACATGAAGGGAAAAATGAAGAAAACGAAGGAGAAAAACAGACAATTCAAAAATAATAGTTGCAGAATTCAATATCCCTACTTTCAGCAATGTATAGAACAACCAGGAAGAAGGTCAACAAGGAAACAGAAGATTCAAACACCACCATAAAATGACCAGACCTAAAAATCCTGTATAAAAACTCTATCCAACGAAAGTATAATATGCAAATATACAACGTATAAAATGTACACAGATGTACATTATACACCTTCTCAGATGTAAACAGAACGTTGTCCAGGATAGACCACATATCAGACCATAAAACAAACTTCAATAAAGGTAGAAGGACTACAAAATATGTTCTCTGAATACAATGGAATCAAATTAGAAATCAAGAGCAAAGGGAAATCAGGAAAATATATAGAGATTAAACAACATATTCCTAAATAATGAATGGATCAAAGAAAAAAAATCATAAGAGAAATTAGAAAATACCTGGAGATGAATGAAAATGAAGATATAATATACCAAAATTATGGAATACAAGTAAAACAGTTATCAGGTGGAGATTTATAGCTGTAAATGCCAATATTAAAGGAGACGGAAGGTCTCAAATTAGATGATGACCTTCCACATCATCTTAGTCTGTTTTGCATTGTTTTAATAAAGGAATACCCACAGGTGGGTAATAAATAAAGAAAAGATGTTTATTTGGCTCACGGTTCTGCAGGCTGTATAAGAAGCATGGCACCTGCATCTGCTTCTGGCGAGGGCTTCAGGGAGCTTCTATTTCCTGAAGCAAAGGTGAAGGTGAGCAGGCATCACATAGCAAGAGGAAGGAAGCAAGAGAGAGGGGAAAAAGGTGCCAGCCTCTTTTTAACAATCAGTTCTCATGGGAACTAACAGAGCAAGAACTCACTTATTACCACTAGAACAGCACCAAGTCATTCATAAGGGATCTGCCCCCATGATCCAAACACCTCCCACTAGGCCCTACCTCCAATACTGGGAATCAAACTTTAACATGAGATTTGGAGGGGACAGATATCCAAACTATATTATACATTAAGACACTAGGAAAAGAAAATCAAACTAAACCTAAGGTAAGCAGAAGAAAGAAAATAATAAAGATTAAAGCAAAATTTATTAACATAATAGGAAAACAATTAAAAAAATCAATGAAACCAAAAACTGGTTCTTGAAAAGATCAACAAGATTGACAAATCTTTAGCTAGACTGATCAAAGAGAAAGAGAGAGAGAAGATGCAAATGAAAGAGGAAACATTACTACTGCATTACAGAAATAAAAAGGATATAAGAAATACAATAAATTGCATGCCAATAAATTCAATGACTTAGATGAAATGGACAAATTCCTAGACATATATACTACTAAAATTGACTCCAGAATAAATGACACAATCTGAAAAGATGGTAAAATTAGAGTTTGAATTAACAATAAAAAAAATTGCCCACAAGAAAAGCCCAGACCCTGATGGTGCCACTGCTGAATTCTACCAAATATTTAAGGAATAATTAATACCAATTCTGCACAAACTCTTTCAAAAGATAAAAGAGGAGGGAATATTTCCTAAATTATTCTGTGAAGCCAGTATTACCTTGATACCACAACCAGATGGACATCAGAAAAAAAGAGAACTACAGACCAATATCTCTTTTAAATACAGATGCAAAAAATCCTCAACAAAATATTAGCAAACTGAACATACCAGCATATAAAATGGGTTATACATTATGGCCAAATGGAATTTACCCCAGGAATGCAAGGTTGGTTCAACATACACAAACAAATCAGGCCAGGTGTGAGGGCTCATGCCTGTAATCCCCACACTTTTGGAGGCCAAGGAAGGAGGATCACTTGAGCCCAGGAGTTCAAGACCAGCCTGGGCAACATAAGGAGACCTCATCTCTACCAAAAAAAAAAAAAAAAAAAAATTAGCCAGGCATGGTGGTGCACACCTGTGGTCCCAGCTACTCAGGAGGCTGAGGTGGGAGGATCGCTTGAGCCTGAGAAATAAAGGCTGCAGTGAGCCATAATTATACCACTGCACTCCAGCCTGGATGACACACCAGGATCCTGTCTAAAAAAAACAGAAACAAAAAAACGAAAAACAATGTAAGACACCATATTAATAATGGGAGAAAAACTCAGCACCTCAGTAGTTATAGAAAAAGCATTTGACAAAATCTAAGGCTCTTTTATGATAAAAACACTCAACAAAGTAGTGCTAGAAGGGAACTTCCTCAACTTGATAAAGGGCTTCTACAAAACACTCACACCCAATGTTATATTTAATGATGAAAGAAGGAATGCTTTCCTCCTAACATCAGGAAAAAGATAATGATGGATGCTCTGCCATTTCTATTCAAAATTTGTCTAATTTATTCAACTAATTTCTTGCAATAAAGCAAGACAATGTTATGGCATCCAGATTATAAAGGAAGAAGTAAAAATATCTCTATTTGCAGATCCTGTTTATAGAATATCCTATGGAATCCACTAAAAATATATTAGAAAAATATATTAGAACTACTAAGTAGTTTAGCACAGTTGAGGACACAAATCAATATGCAAAAAGTAACTGAACTCCTGTGCACTTGCAATGAACAATCTGGAAATAAAAATAAGAAAAAAATCAATTTAAAATAGCACCAAAAAGAATAAAATACTTTGACACAAATTTAATTTTAAGAGTTCAGGCCAGGCACAGTGGCTCATGCCTGTAGTCCCAGTATCTTGGGAGGCTGAGGCAAGAGGATTGCTTGAGCCCAGGAGTCTGAGGATGCAGGGAGCTATGATCTTGCCACTGCACTCCAGTCTGGCTAACAGAGCAAGATCCTATTTCAAACAAAACAAACAAACAAAAAATACTTTTACTCTGAAAACTACAAAACATTGAAAGAAATAAAAGATTATCTTAAAAAATGGAAAAACTTTCCATGTTCATGGATCATATGACTTAATATGACTAGGAGAGCAATATTCTCCAAATTGATCTATGGATTCAACATAATTCCTATTATAATCCCAGCTGATTTTTGCAGAAATTGAAAACCTGATTCTAAAATTCATATGGAATTGTAACGATCCAAATCAACCCTAAAAAAGAAGAACAAATTGCATATTTCCTAGTTTTACAACTTACTACAAGGCTACAGTAACCAAAATAGTGTGATAATGGCATAAAGATAGACATATGGATCAATGGAATAGAATTGAGAGTCCGGAAATAAATCCATGTATTTAATGTTCAACTGATTTCAACAAGGATGCCAATACCATTCAATGGGGGAAAGAATAGTCTTTTCAACATATGGTGTTGGGATAATTCGATATCTACATGCAACAGAATGAAATGAATCTTTACCTCACACCCTATGCAAAAAACATTAACTCAAAATGGATCAAATATTTAAATATATGAACTGAAACTATAAAACTCTTGGAAGAAAACATAGAAGTACATTTTCACAATTTGAATTTGGCAATGGCTTCTTATATATAAGAAAAGCGTGAGCTAAAAAAAAATAGATAAACTGAATTTATCAAAATTAAAAACTTGTGCTTTAAAGGACACCATTAAAAGTGAAAAACAACAGAATGGGAGAAAATATTTTCAAGTCATATAGCTGATAAGGGACTTTTATCCAGACTATAGGAAGAATTCTCACAACTCAATAATGAAAAGACAAATAACCTAATTAAAAAATAGGCAAAGGACTCAAATAGACATTTCTTCAAAGAAAATATACAAATGGCCAAAAGCACATGAAAAGATGATTAACATCGTTACTCATTGGAGAACTGAAAATCAAAACCACAGGAAATAACACTTTACACTCACTAGAATGGCTGGAATCAGAAAGTCAAGATAGTAAGTGTTGGCAAGGATGTGGTGAAATTGGAACCTTCATACACTCCTGGTGGGAATGTAAAAGTGCAGCCACTCTGGCATACGGTCTGGCAGTTCCTCAAACAATTAAACACAAAGCGACCATATGACTCAGCAATTCCACTCCTAGATATATACCAAAGAAAAATGAAAATATGCCCACACAAAAAACTTACATATGAATGTTCATAGCAGCATTATTCATAACAGCCAAAAGGTAAAAACAACCTAAAGGTCCACTGATGATGAATGAAAAACAAAATGCAGTCTGGTCTATCCACACAATGGAATACTATTTGGTTATAAAAAGGGCTGGCATGGTGGCTCATGCCTGTAATCCTAGCACTTTGGGAGGCCAAGGTGGGAGGATTGTTTAAGGCCAGGAGTTTGAGACTGGCCTGGGCAACACAGTGAAACCTCATCTCTGTAAAAAATGCAAAAATTAGCCAGGTGTGGTAGCATGCACCTGTAGTCCCAGCTACTTGTGAGGCTGAGGTGGGAAGATCACTTGAGCCTGGGAGGTTGAGGCCACAGTGAGTCGTGATCACGTCACTGCACTCTAGCCTGGGTGACAGAGTGAGACCCTGTCTCTACAAAGAAAAAAAGGAATGAAATACTGATACATGCTACAACATGGATGAACCATGAAAACATTCTGCTAAGTGGAAGATGCCAGTTACAAAAGACCACAAATACAATTCCATTTACAGGAAATGTCCAGAGTAGAAAAATTTTAGAGACAGAAGATTAGTGATTGCTTAGGACAGGAGGGATGAGTGTTAGGGAGGTGACAGCTAAAACGTATGGAATTCCTTTCTGAAATGATGAAAATGTTCTGAAGATGACTGTAGTAATGGTCATACAACTCTGGAGATATACTAAACTCCATTGAATTGTACCCTTGAAATGGGTGAACAACACAGCATGTGAACTGCATCTCAATGAAACTTAAAAAAATAATACAGTGGGAAGAAACAGTCTAGCAACTTCTGACTGTCTCTTCAGCCCCTACTAGTCCCTTTTAGCCAGAAAATCTTATCATTCAATCCTCACAACAGCATCAATACCCTTCCTTCCGTGTTCCTTTTCTCAACTCATACACACACAGCCATTCTCTGTTGCTTGAGAACATAAGCACGAGGCAATAGTCACAGCCTTCTTGTAGCTGGAAAGTGAGTTTTAAAAACCAGCAGGACATCAGGCAGAGATGTTCACCAAACAATAGGAAATTCAGGGCAGAGGCAGCAAAGAATGGTTAAAGAGGTGAGATGGGCAGATGGGAAAAACTCCGTCAGGTCTCAGTATGCCAGCTAACATCCTGACTTGCGCACGAGGAGGACAGGGCCAGGCCACTCTCTTACCGACAAGGGCCAGCTGATACAGGTGAGCACGCGGTAGAAGCGGAACAGGTGGACCAGGTAAAAGGCGAGGATCATTATCAAGTCGCAAATGGTGACCACTTCAAAGTAGCTGTAGGCGCTGTAGTTGGTCCACGAGGCGCTCCGCAGCACGCAGATGAAGGCAATCAGCAGGGTGACCTGCCACATAAATAGAGACATCAGAGAAATGCTTGCCCAAGACGGGCACCCAGGGAATAAACAACGGAAAACAAACCAAGCATCCCCCGGCAGTCCCAAATTGAAGAACTGCTATTAATACAACTCAGGTTATTTCCACACAAACTGGCTGGAAGGTTGGAAGGGTGCAACTTCATGTGGTACACACTTTGAAAACTACACGCTGGCTGTGAACACTGGTGACGGCAGACACTGACTTTGTCCTCTCTGAAGTTCGTTAGATTGTGCTGGCAGGAAGTCCCCTCAGAAGCAGCAGGAAAACAGTAAAATATAAAAGCAGAACCATCCCTTTCATCTGCTGGATATCCACAGAGCAAAGACGACAGCGTGATGCTGACCTGGGGTTTACACATTAGGTCCAATTGTATGAAGTTGCCAATATTTGATGGTTTTTGACCTACAAAGATGGCAATTCATACCTTATAGCTATCAACTGACAGATAACAAGTTACCATTTACTGATGTCTGACATACATGATCTCATTAAGGCCATGCAGAACCCTGCCAGGTAGACAAAATCATCCCCATGTTCATAAGGGTAGACTGAGGCATGCAGGTTCAATCTCAGTCCAAGGCTATCTGGCTTGTAAGCAGGAGAAGTGGGATTTGAAGCAGATCTGTCTGACTCTAAGGACCATGTTCCTCCACGTCAGATGGAGTTCTACCTCCCAAAAGTGTAAGCTCTCATCATAACAAGCCAAGAAAGGTGGACGGGTTCTCAACCCTGCGGGAATCCTGTTTAAGAGATGAGGCTGCTCACCATCATGGCATGTGGTGAGAGCTCACTAAGAAATATCGCAGCACGAGTGAACATGCTTAACAGCCTGCTACTGGATTAATAATCAGATGAAATATTATTAGCAATGCATGAGTACAAGAGAGTAGAATGAGTAAGAGTCAGAGCTTCTGTGAAGGCCACTCAAAGAGAAAACCTGTCTACTCCATGTAGGGGACAAACCAGTAACACACAGGGTTCAATGTGTGTAAAATCTTAGAATCTATTTTATTTATTTATTTGTTTATTTTGTTTTTGTTTTTTTGAGACAGGGTCTGGCTCTGTCTCTGAGGCTGGAGTGCAGTGAACCAATCTCAGCTCACTGTGACCTCTGCCTCCTGGGCTCAAGCCATCCTTCCACCCTAGCTTCTCAAGTAGCTAGGATTATAGGCGTGTGCCATCATGCCTAGCTGATTTTTGTATTTTTAGTAGAGATGGGGTTTTGCCATGTGGCCCAGGCTGGTCTCAAACTCCTGAGCTCAAGCAATCCGCCCGCCTTGGCCTCCCAAAGTGCTGGGATTATGGACGTAAGCCATTGTTTCCAGTCAGGAATCTATTTAAAATGCACAACCAACTTAGGAAAAAAATTATTTTATACTGCCTCTTTCCTATAGAGGAGTGTTTTTTTTTTTTATTTTTCCTTTGACATGGAGTCTCACTCTGTCGCCCAGGCTGGAGTGCAGTAGCATGATCTTGGCTCACTGCAACCTCTGCCTACAAGGTTCAAGTGATTCTTGCCTCAGCCTCCCGAGTAGCTGGGACTACAGGCATGCAACACCATGCCCAGCTAATTTTTGCATTTTTAGTAGAGACGGGGTTTCACCATGTTGGCCAGACTGGTCTTAAACTCCTGAACTCAAGTGATCCGCCTGCCCCAGCTCCCCAAAGTCGCTGTGATTACAGGCGTGTGTGCGTGTGTGTGTGTGGGGGGGGGCGGTACGTGAATGGGTGTGCGATTTTGTGTCCTGTGGGACATTTGGCAATGTGTGGATATATTTTTGGTTTACACAATTTGCGGGGATGGGGGTTGCGACTGGCATTTAGTGGGTAGAGGCCCAGGGTGCTGCTAAACACCCTGCAATAAATAGGAGAGCTCCCATAGTAAAGAATTACCCAGCTCCAGCCCCAAATGTGGCCCCTCAACTACAATACTATTGTTGAAAAACTGCTGTAGAAAATGTCAGTCTACAATGAGAATTAAATCACAAAATGGGGCGTGGTGCAGTGGCTCACGCCTGCAATCCCAGCACTTTGGGAGGCCGAGGCAGGTGGATCACCTGAAGCCAGGAATTTGAGAAGCCTGGGCAACAAGCAAGACCCTGTCTCTACAAAAAATACAAAAATTAGCTGGGCATGGTGGCGTGCACCTGTGGTCTCAGCGACTTGGGAGGCTGAGGTGGGAGGATGAATTGAGCCTAGGAGGTCGAGGTTGCAGTGAGCTATTATTATGTCACTGCACTCCAGCCTGCAAGACAGAGTGAGAATGCGTCTCTAAAAAATAAAAATCAAATCAAATCACAAAATGGATCTAACTCCAGTTAAAACAGTTGATGCTGAAATGCTCCTAGTTTCTAAAGCCCCTTGTGGCTAGCCCGCTACCAAGATCCTCAGCAACAGGTACAACAGCTAAGAGAGGACTGTCAGCCGGAAGCCTGAAGTGGGCATGGAGAGCGCTCTGCTTACCAGATCAAAACAGAAGAGTGTGGCTCTGACACGAAGAGTCCCTCAACATTTGTGTATTTCCCTTTGCTAATGAGCAACGCCAAGTGTTTTCATTTTTTCGGTTCCTCTGAAGCTAGCCAGCCATGGTGATACAATGAATCACACCTCTGCCTTACTCAGAAGTGTGAATGATCGCCAGGGCTTAGCTGCTACCTCAGTCTTACTTCCAGGCCACACCTACATGGGGAAGTCTAGGGGTCTTCCCAGCCCCACACTGACCTCCTCATGAACTCAAGAAGTATTATTCAAGGCATGACTGAAAATGTAGATAATGTGCAATTATGCAGTGTGATTCCTAGGTAAAGAGGCAATTTTGCATCTAGTTTAATGCAGAGATTAAAATAATTTTCCAACTCTTCGTTGAAGACAAAGTTAGCTCTTTATCATGGTGACACAGGGATGTAGAAGTTTCCCAGCGCACAAAAGGGGCCTGTGCAGGTCTTCCCGCTCCGAGCTTCCAGGGCTGAGTACTGTGTGACAGGAAGTGCATTCCTGCTCTGTTAGAAACATCTCAAACCTCCCTGGGAAACGTGCTCATGAAATAACACTTCCTGAATTCGGTTCACTTGGCCTATGGCCGTCTACCATATGCCTTTCTTTAGGAAAGCCCAATTTTAGAAAATCGAATTTAGCCAGAGTATGGTGTGTGCTTATGCATGCTCCTAAAAGCTTCCTTTTTGCCCAGGGATTCATTCATTCCAAGTTTAAATAGCCAGCATCTTAGCCAGCACATTAAATTAAAAACAAAAAAAATTTCACTGACATCAAACTTTTCAGAAATCCTTCTAAAGCCAGTAGGTAACTTCTGCAAATGCTGGGGCCCCCTGAATTATTTAGAGGCTTAATTCCTGGGTGTCAAAATAATCTGTACAACAACCCCCTCCCATGACATGAGTTTACCATATAACAAACCTACACGTGTACCCCTGAACTTAATATACAAGTTAAAAAAAAGGAAAGGTGACAATAGAAGAAAGAACAAGACAACAGTGGGGAAAAGGCGCTGGGGTGTTTATCCTTGCCCTCCTCCCGCCAGCTCTACCCCTCTCAGGTGTCTTCATGTTCCCAGTTAGAAAAGCAAATGAACGGCCGGGCGCGGCAGTTCACGCCTGTAATCCCAGCACTTTGGGAGGCCGAGGTGGGTGGATCACGAGGTCAGGAGATCGAGACCATCCTGGCTAACACGGCGAAATCCCGTCTCTACTAAAAATATAAAAAATTAGCCAGGCGTAGTGGCAGACGCCTGTAGTCCCAGCTACTCAGGAGGCTGAGGCAGGAGAATGGCATGAACCCCGGCCTGGGCGAAAGAGCGAGGTTTCCGTCTCGGAAAAAAAAAAAAAAAAAAAAAAGCACATCAACAGACACGCCTGAATTGAGAGACGACTGGAGGTAGGGGTTCCAACTTGAGGACCGAGTGAAGCAGCTGGGAGGCTCCTGGAAGACAATGTTTCTGTGTAGAGTGACTTCTGTCTGTAGAGTGATGCTGTCCAAAGGGTTACACCCCTTGTCTCTTAAGGTGCCTTCTAGCTCCTCTCATAACGGTTTCTTATTTTATATTGAACTGTCATAAAAATAAAATATCTAACATAAATGTCCAGGAGTTTATTTCATTTATTTTATTTTTTTGAGATGGTGTCTCACTCTGTCGCTAGGCAGGAGTGCAGTGGCAACATCTTGGCTCACTGCAATCTCCAACTCCCTGATTCAAGGGATTCTCCTGCCTCAGCCTCACGAGTAGCTGGGATTACAGGCATGCGCCACCATGCCCGGCTAATTTTTGTATTTTTAGTAGAGACAGAGTTTCACCATGTTGGCCAGGAGGGTCTCGATCTCCTGACCTCGTGATCTGCATGCCTTGGCCTCCCAAAGTGTTGGGATTACAGGTGTGAGTCACTGAGCCCGGCCTATTTTTTTCTTTTGAGACAGAGTCTTGCTCCAGGCTGGAGTGCAGTGGCGCAATCTCCACTCACTGCAACCTCTGCCTCCTGGGTTCAAGTGATTCTCCTGCCTCAGCTTCTTGAGTAGCTGGGACTACAGGTTTGTACCACCACGGCCAGCTAATTTTTGTATTTTCAGTAGAGACAGGGTTTCACCATATTTGTCAGGCTGGTCTCAAACTCCTGACCTCAAGTGATCCACACACCTCAGCTTCCCAAAGTGCTAGGATTACAGGTGTGAGCCACGGTGCCCAGCCATGTCCAGGGGTTTTAAAGTAACACTGCAAGAGCCCTCAACTCAAAGCAAGGGTCCCACAGACCAGCCATGACACCACAGAGTCACTGGAATTAGAATTCCAGATTAAAAACATCACTCCCCGAAACCCGTGTCCTTTCTGACTCCATTCTGTCAGAATTCTTACTAGAAAGATTATTTTTTTGAAGGAGCAGAGGGTTTAAATTTCACAAGAGATGAAGCAAGCTGACATGATCTGAGAAAGTGACGGTCCCCTGAGGACTGTGGAACC